TTATATTTAAGATAATAATATGTTATTTATTTGCATGCATTACAAAATTTATGTCGAATTGATGTTCTCGCCGCTTTTTTGTTCTCTCCCTACATTTTATATTGGTGGATCAGTCTCAGGATTCTCCTCTATGTATGTATTTGTATATTTAGTGACAAGTAGCCAAGTATTTGTGATAACTAGCTTGTGCTTGGTGGAAAAAATAAGTAAAGCTTATAAATTCTAACTAAATCTGAATTAGATACGTGGAACATTATTGGGCCAATTGCGAATTGATGACGTAACTGCACAAAAGTGGAACCAATTTTAAAATATGTTAATCCTACTTTTCTACCTGCCTACTGTATACAGAAATGGAATGCAAATTTAGTTACAGGGATTCTGTGTATTATTTAGTATTCTGGAATTCAGGAAATCCTGTGCAAAACAGAGATTTGTCACACTTTAGTGGCTGGCTGTAACATGTTTATTTCCTCTGTTTCAAAACATTATATCTAATTCATCCAAGTTTTCATGTTAGAAATACATATGACAGGCATGATTGAGTGCGTTTGCTCCTAGGGCCTGGCATGGCCAAATGGTTAGTGTACTAAACTCGCAATCTGCGGGTCATCAGATCGAAATCCCTTGATGAGCATGCTCGCTCATTTAGCCGCGAAAGTGTTATAACGTAATGGTCAATCCCACTATTCGTTGGTAAAGAGTAGCCGAAGAGGTGGCGGTGGTTGGTGTTGACTATCTGCCTTCCCTCTAGTCTATCACTTCAAAATTAGGATAGCAGATAGTTTTCGAATAGTTTTTCTCGCGAAATTCAACAAATAAACGTTTTCCCCCTCTAAACAACAACAGTATGAACTGACAGAAGCTGTCACCTACATAATTTGTATTATATCTATAGTAATCTTTTTGGTTGAAAGTTTTCTTTATTTTTATATTTTTTGTCTGTTATTTGGTTTTCGCGGTTAAAAGAAAGTTGAAATATCGGTAAAACCGCAAACTTAGGGAATGACATCTATATAACTATGAAAGGTAATGTGTTGTTGTCGAAAAATTTAAGTATATTCTAGAACTATATATTTACACAATAGTAGTGACTGTTTCTTTTTCAGAGTCAATAGAATGAGGTCACACTTTTGCAAATATTTCTTCCAATTAATTGTACAGGTAATTTTTTTTTCTGTGAAACACAAAAGTTGAAATGGAAGGGCTTGTTAGTATCTTACGTACCATATTGAGGGTGTAGAGAAGAGCGTTAAATAAAGGGGGAAGCCGTCTTCACTCCAAAAAACAAGAGATGACGACTTCTTAATCAAATAAATCGCCTGATATCTGACTACCTGGTGAGCTGTAAAGTTGAATTGAATGGGTCATTGACCAGTCACAGTTAGATTAACTGACCTAGTGTGCTACATCTATGAAACCAGACTTAAGAAAAACTAAATACTAATTGAATTAGTTTGTAAACTAGTTAATTCAAAAGATTATTCCTGCATGATACGTCCCCATTAAAATATAATTATCTATTTGTTGCTATTTTGTATTATAAGGACTTGTAATCCACGTTATACTTTGCTGCTAATATTAAACAAAATCTGTTGTTAAGTGGAATGCTGGATATTTGTTGTTATTTGTTTGTTTCAGGACAAAAACAACTCAAACAGGTTACACTTAGTTGCAAAAAATTGATAGACCCAACACAATAATGACATAAGTTCACTTCTTCTCCAATATCAATATTAGTGTTCCAACAGAAATTTGATTTTCTACATAGATTGAGTTACATTACGAAACGCTAAACAATAAATTTTCAGTTTTGTATGTTTACACATTCAAAATGATTATCATCATAAATTCACTTAGCAGGCTTGTTTATAAAACCTTGAAGCACCACAACTACTTTGATCGTTCAATATTTAAGAACATTCAAGGTATTTCAATTGGCAAATGAAAAAAAGGTCCATAAGCACAAGTAAAGTACTCAACCTTTCGACCTTCTATTGGCCAATGTTTCAGCACATAGTAACGAAAACAGACATTAAATATTTACATAAAAAAAAGAACTCAATAACTTTTAGCATTGTCATAAATAAATGTTTATAGACAAATAACCTGAAATGCCACGATATTGATAAAAAAAATAGAGTCATTCAAAATGGTCAATAAAACTACGGAATACTACACTGCGAACTCTATATACAAAGAAATAACTTATAGGTTTCTATTTCTATTTGTAAAGTTATTTTCGAGTGACTGAAAATGCTTGTTTTAAAGCTCGTTGTGTGCACTATTTTAGAAATACTGTCCCAAATGATAAAGTAACTATCCATCCTACAGACATCATCCACACTTAATGATGATAATTTATCTCTCTCGCTCTCTGACACCCATTGTCAATACGCACCAAATTATATTTTCTTCCTTCATTCTTGTTTTGCTTCACTAAACACACCCTCATGAATTAAAACTCAAAATTCATATTATTATATGTGAACAAGAAATGCTTTACCTTGAAAAAAGCATCGTTAAGTTTGTGTGTGATCTAGTGCATAACATCCCTGCTCTTCGTCTTCAGGTCGTTCACTTTTAAAGGCAAGACTTAATCACTTCAGCTTATAACAACTAATAATATTGACTATTTGGACTAAAGCCGAACCAGGAAGACAACTGAAATTATTTAGTTACGGCTAACGGCTGAAAAACAATTGGATTTATGTTGTTGTTTTTTCTGGACTTTAAAATGATGTGATTTGCCTGAAAATTGACTTGTTAAGGAAAATTATTGACATGACTGTTTCTAACAGAATCGACATTCTGTAGCATTATTCCACGTAGCTCTAGACTTATGACGTTAAAAATCAGGTTTTGATACCTGTAGCGGGCATAGCATAAATAGCCCATTGTGCATCTTTGTGCCTAACGACAAACCAACTATTCATTAAAAAAAAAGTTGAATCAGTCTCAATAAAAGTTTGTCTCCCGGTGGCTTAGCTAAAATTCGGAGCTCCATCCCTGTGATGGGCATACGTTACATACAGCCCATTGTGCAGCCTTACACTTAACAACAAAACTAACAAATCATAAACATTTAATTATCTCTTACCTATAGCTGTTGTTTTTTTCCCTAAAAACACAATTCATTCGTTTGCAGTGAACTGTTGAGTGTACTAATGCAGTTAGTTAAACTAAATATAATCAAACTTACATAATCTAAAACTGTTCTAAGTTTTTCATATCACTTAGAATACAAGAAAATTTAGTGACAACAGTGTGCAATATAGGCTCAAACAATAAACACAACGTAAACAGTTGGAGTGAGTAATACATGCTACTGGTTGTTTAAACTGTAATTATTATTTTCAGTACTGCTTACCAACTTTTAACTAAAACTGACTGATATAATGAATTTTACAAAATATAGAATATTTTTAGATAATAAGCCTCAATTTACAAATCAACCCTTGTATGTAGATTTAAATTTTTAAACAAAGCTTTAAGCAAACACTCAGCTAAAAAAAATACTCAGTATTGTAATAATTTAGAGAGAGTACAGATGAGTATTACTTTTAACTAGGCCTAGCATGGCCAGGTGGTTAGGGCGCTCAACTCGCAATCTGAGATCCTTGGGTTCGAATCTCCTTCCCACCAAACATGCTCTCTATTTCAATCGTTAACCAGCTCGATAGCAGGTTAAACTAAACTTATAAAATAGTTAATTAATGTTTAACTTTGCTTTTGCTGTAAAAAATGGCACTTGACAACGCATGTGTTTTTTATTTGCACAGAATACACCCCAGAGGCAGAGAGGTAAGTCTCAGGACTTTTAACGCTAAACATCGGGTTTCGACAGCAGCAGTTGGCAGAGAACAGATGGCCCGTTGTCTAGCTTTGTGCTTAACAACAACCAAATCAAACTGCACAGAAAAATATACAAGTGGGCTAAGAAGGTGAAGTAATAACCCGCCTAATTTCCGCCTTTTATATGTTCATTAAAACAAAGCTGTACATAATTAGACATAAGACATACCTTCGTGATAGTAAATATTTTACAATCAATAATTATTATTAGAGTGAGAGCTAAGTAAAGGCAATACAATTTATAACCAGAAATAACATAAACATTAAAAAATGTTTTTCGCAGTTAGCAAGGGCGTTGTAGTTCAAGTCTTTACGTCATTTTTATGTTCATATCCATTAAAAAAGAAGCATAAAACACAAACCCCACAACCACACAACCACACCCTGGCACTAATTTAAACGAGCACAATGCCAGTTTAAAACATGTACCTAAACTGGTCCACTCTCCCGTCGACCACTTAAAGTATCGATGAAATTCTAATTTATAAATTGAAGAAAGAATTGAAAGTACATACATTCACAATTCCACCCAAAGGTTGATTATTACTGAAGTGAAGAAACCCATATGCTTTGTAATGCAGCGTCCGACCATAATGACGTTTCCATGTTTTTAGATAACCTTGTTTGCTTGTTTAAAATGTAGGCTTACCTCATTTATACATATACATATCTATAACTAAAACAACACTAACATTCACCCGTAGATACAAAACACTGGAATATCAGACCATTGTCTGATGATCTAGCCTCATAATTTAATATTTGTCAAATTGGTTTGAGAAAGTTCTGTTTAATAAAAACTTTCATAAGATAAACAATACGTGTATAGCAGTTTTGTGTTTTATTCCTACGTTAACTTTCTCCAAAAGGGAACGCCCCTCAGTGGCACAGCGGTGTGCCTGCGGACTTACAACGCTAGAAACCGGGTTTCGATACCCGTGGTGGGCAGAACACAGATAGTCCATTGTGTAGCTTTGTGCTTAGCTTCAAAAGAAACAAACAAATAAACAAACCAAAAGGGAACAAATATTCAAAAATTTGATATATACCCAAAAATAATATTATATTTAATGTGATGATAAAAAAACGGAAAAGGCATTTTTTTTATTTGTTTGTGTTATAAAAATATCACTTTATTTTTTCAGTGCTAATGCTCAGATGGAGAATAACGTAACGCCTGTGTACTTAGCCGCTCAGGAAGGACATCTGGATGTACTCAAGCACCTAGTAGTCTCTGCTGGTGGCTCCCTCTCGCTGCGAGCAATCGACGGTATGGCACCAATCCACGCCTCTGCTCAGATGGGAGCATTAAAGTGTCTGAAATGGATGGTATGTTGATTTTTATTTTCAACGGTTTTACTAAGCATTTACAGGATATCCCAGAAGTCTGGACCCAAAGGGGAAAATACAAAATTGATACATAATTTATTAATTATTAAAATTACATGCTATTAAAAGCCGTACACATATCAATTCTTGGTATACTGTACCATCAGGGTATTTTATTTCCGGAAATACTTAAAACTGACATTAGAAATGTGTTTGTTTACCTTTAATAATATGATGTATATTCTCCCTATTGTTCCAGACTTCTGGGATACCCTGTATATTGAAAATGGATAGTTATACATGTTTATTGTAAGCCCACACTTTAATCCTTTAATCTTACGGTCCTTTATCCGTAGGTTGAAGAACAAGGTGTGGATCCCAACTTACAAGACAAGGATGGAGCCACTCCAGTTCACTTTGCTGCCAGTAGAGGGCACGTTGATACTTTGCGATGGCTTCTAAGACATGGTGGTCGAATATTATTAGATAAATTCGGGAAAAGTCCTCTTAATGATGCAGCGGAAAATGAACACTTAGAGGTGTGCATCTATAAACTTGATAAAAAAAAATCTATAAAATGTTATAATATTTAAAAATTCTATTAAACCAGTTTATGAATAACAGTAAATAAAAAGTAAAAAAAAAATGTAATGCACAATAAAACTTTATTTGGCCGATGGTCAACATTAATATTAACTCCACATATTTCCATAGTTTTTCGCAACCATCACCAGGAGTGATATATACCCGGCAATAGGAGCAAAAGGTTTAACTAATCATAAGTTTTAAGAGATAGTACGAATGTTATTTTATACAGAAAATTAATATTTCACTTCATAACTGTACAATAATACTTGCCAATCCATGATTCTTATTCGACAACTAATTATATAATTTAGGCCATAACTTTCAATAGATTATCTAATATTAAAATTCATGTTGATATAAAACTTTAGTTACATGCCAACCTATCAACTTTTTTTTTTTCAGTGTCTTGCTCTTTTAGCGGCACATGCTTCAGACCCTCGTCACCAGGTCGGAATGTCAGTAACACTGACACCTGCTGGACTACTACCAGTACCTGTCCAGCGTTGCTGCTCATCCTGTCAAGTCCAGTCACATTACAAACGTCCTTCTACTTCACACGTAAGAAAGGTAAATATCTTTAATTATAAATACATGTATTGAGAGAGAAAGAAAATAATGCTGTTTTTTTACGACTGTTATTTACATTAAAATAAAATATTGTTATAGAATATGAAGTATATCTGGAAAATTAATAAGTAATTTCAGGGTTCAGTAGAAGAGACTCTTTTTTTTTCTTTTTATACTTTAACGAGAAACATTTTTAGACAGATTTTTTTCTCTGTCATTAATTAATTATATATTTACTAGTTACGGAAATAAATCATTACGCTTTCTAAAATTTGGAGGTTCAGTCGTGAGTGAGCACATTGCGGATAGTCCATTGTGCAGCAGCTTTGTGCTTACAAAGCAAACAAGTTAAAATCTAAACTAGCCTTCGGTTACATGATTTTAGGATTGCAATTACTTTTTATAGAGTAATATCCAAAAGCTAACAATATATTAAAAAAATCAATGTTTGAGTTTATTTGTGCTTATATTGATCTTTTTTTTATTTGAAAAATTCTTCTACCAATAAAAATTCAGGTCGCTAAAGTTGTAAATTGGTAAGTGTTCGTGATGTCTTCTTAACAGGGTTCCGACAGTTGTTCATGTCGATCTACAACATCAGACGAAACTAACTCCTGGTCTGACGACTACCCATCAGACGTTACTGGAAGTAGTCATCAATCCATGCAAGAAAGTGTCCCACAAAGCTCTAATCACCACCATTCTCTGAGTCATTCAAGAAGTTGCAATGTTTGTGGTCTTCACGCAAAAGATAGCCACAAATCTCATCGTCAGCACGGGCATTACCATCGCCGAAACCAATGTTCACATCAAAGACAAACGCCAGACATTGCTTTGAACAATAAGACAAGGCATCAGAGAACAGCCAGCGATGAAAGTTCACGAGGTTCTCGCATGGATAGCTATAAAGAACTATTCGCAGGAAGCCTAAACGAAACAAACCAAGAGCCTTTCTATCTACATGAATCTAACATGACTTCTGATGATCGGGTCAAAAAACTGTTCGAGGCGCCTTCTGGTGATAAACAACAGCCATCAAGTACGGACACTTCAATTTCAAATCCCAAATCGTCGTGTAGTGTTACTACTAGAGTCGGTATGATGCTTTTTTCAGCATCTAAGGTCATAATCAACTTGACTTCTATTCATTATCCTTGCTTAAAAAATCAATTTTGCTATGTTTAAAACATATAGTGTTTTATATAAATCGACTATTCAAGAGGTCCAAGTTTCTACTATTAAAAACGTATAGTAGTGCAAATATTTCATCTGGCACAGGATCTGAACATATTGGTTTACAATTATTCTTAAATTTCATTGAATTAAAGTAGAAAATAAGTCGATGGAAGGATTGTTGATGTAATCATAAGTAAAGTGCATATATAACGTTTACTATGTAAAGTAGCTTTGAAAATGAGATAAAGCGACATTTCTAGATAAAATGTTTGATTTTATACCATTAATATTAAACATAAGATACTCATTTGGAGTTGATTTCATATAAGGTAGAAATGTTTTCTTTCACTCACGTATTCATTATTAGTTTGTAGCTAGTGTATAATTAACTGTGATAAATATATGTATCAAATCTTAGTCACTGTTTCTGTGGGCATGATAGTAGAACTAATCATACATAAAGTTTTCAAATATTTTCTTATAATTCAACCAATTATATTTCTATGTTTCAATGATTTGTGTGTTTAAAAACTAAATACTTAATTTTCAAAATGCTTGACCTGCATGAATTTTTATAAAATTGTCAATAGTTTTACATCTGTACAAATACTTACACATTTTGTATTTGTTGACAATAGTGACTGTAGAAATCCACCAATCAACTTCGGATGATGTAATGAGTACGTCTGACGTTAGTGATCCGGTTCCCGATTACAATGACCCTGTGGCACGTGTGTATTCTAATAGCAGACAAGAGCCAATTGAAGGTTCTTCCGAGAACCCATTTGTTTCAGGAGAGCAATCATTGACTTCGTCTGAAGCCTGTAGCACGAGTACAGATGAAGGGATTTACCAAGAAGTTGAAAACGAAGGTCCAGAAGACGACGACGAAGGCGTTTTTTCTGGTGATCCTTCGGAACCGCAAAAAAGCAATGATCCAGAAACAACTTTTAATAGAAATTCTGGAAAAATAAACGATAGTGATAATGGATCTCTAATTGTACCACAAACTTTGAATGAGGAAAATAATACTGAGGTTCTTGAAGGTCCTTCAGATGCCAGCGTTTCCTTTGCAGCCTCAAAGAATGCCATTGATTCGCCCAAATCTGAAGAAGGAAATAAACAAATAAATAATTCTCAAGTAGAAATCAAAGTAAAACCTGCCTTAGAAGGAAAGAAAAGTTTACCTATAGATATTCAGGAAAATATAAAAGAGTCACTTAAAAGAAGAAATTCCAAAGAACTAGCAGAAAGGGCACTTTCTGTTCCAGTTTCCTTATCTTTAACTCCAGTTCTTCCTGCACCACCTCCTCCGCTCATTCCATTATCTTTAAATAAAGACAGTTTTGAAAGTCAAAGCAATTCTCCAAGTGGTACTATTAAACGGAAATCAGATGTTATTTCCGAGAATAAAAATAACGTATTATCCGAGTTGTTGCCTCTTGGTAAAGAAAATGTTAATAATGAGGACAGCAATGAAGCCATAAACAATACCCAAACTCGAGTATTGGAAGAAAAAGATACTTTAAAACAAAAAACATCTAAACTATCTCCTCAAGCAATACAGACAAGGTTCATCCCACCCCAGTTTGAATCACTGCCGAATTCGGACATTAATATCAAGCCTTCGGAGTATCTAAAGAAATTAGCTAACAAAACTGCTCCTTCTTTTCCCATTCCAAAAATGGGACAAATACCTAAAGATGTTCTCGCAAATTCCGATAAAAACGCTTCTAATAATGAGTTAGAAGACAACAAATTGTTGCCTATGGTTACTGAACCCGTTTCAAAAAGTAGTCTAGCAAAGTCTGAATCAGAAGAGCTTCGTGACATCACAAAGATCAACGATAATACAGACGCTATATCTAATGAGTCCAAAACAAATGACAGTGAAATTATACCACAAGTTCCTCCGCCACCTAGTGGACCACTTGTAATTCCGCCTCCTCAGCCGAATTTCGGTGTGACCAAAGAAGCACTACAGTCGGTTAATTTAAAGAAAACTGATAAACCAACAAATACAGGTAAACTTGTTTTAACAGGCGTACTTTATAGGAAGAATATAGGAAATGAGTTAAAGTATTTTAGTGCAGAACATTTACAGCTATATGAAAATTTGCTCATTTCCTCACAAATTCACAACATAATAGGGCTTATACTTACTTTAATAAAAAAAACACACATTATAGTTGAAGAACGATGAATGTTAACTTATTTAAAATTTATACTCAGAAATATCATCATAATATATATCTATATACATACGTGTATGAGCACGGTAGTAAAAACATGTATATCAACAAAAAAAATCAGTAAATCTTACAAAAAATCATCTGTGCACCTGTCGAAATAGGATTTCATCCGTTTTTGTTATATGATTATATATTGTTTATATACTGAGAATTGAGTACGTTCTATTACAACTATTATGAATACATAAATTAGAATGTAACGTGACATTTTTAGTTGTTTGGCATTTGGTAAGTAGTGTGATGCCAACGAAAATATATCGCTTTGGGGAAGAATATCTAACAGCTGTGGTATTATCAGATTGCCCTGGTTTTCCCCAAAATAACCTGCAGGAACCGCAAAAACAGGAGGATCTAAAAGATACTGTATCACAAAGCATTTCCTGAATTATCTCTGTATTTGACTGAGTCTCCCACAAAAGAAAGAACTGGATACACACTTGCATTAAACACAGTCTTTATTAACGACAGACACAGTCCACACGTGTAAATGTCTTTCATTTAAGTGAGAGAGAAAGAGATGAAGTCTAACTTCTCAAGCTAAAATAAGCTCTATCAAAAGTAATCTCCTTTTTTAATGTAATCTCTCCTCAAAAATATATAATATTTCTAAATCTCATGTATGTTCTAATTATAACTGAGAGAACCTGGACCTATATACACAAACAAAACAAGACCAGGCTGCTCAGAGCTTCATGTTACCCATGTGATTCAAGATTATTCTCGATTAAGCGAAAGGGCGAGCTATGCCATTGGGGCATTACCCGACTCATCCGTAGAAAAGGCTGTTATCTATTTAGATGCATCCCAAGTAAAGTCACTGTTATATTTCCTTTAATCAAGTACGTTTGATAATCTACTGGAATGATCTCGTACCATGGGTAACTTGGGCAAAAACCTAATTGTTCCCTTGACTAACTTCTATATCGGAAGCTAACCATACTCTGTGTGCTGAGAAATTCTGAAATGTCTACATATTGATTATAGGATAGAAAACACATGATATGTCTGCATATCAAATAGCCCTTTCCAATGCAAAATATTCATACACTCAGATCATAAAGATGTGTTCAGGTTAGGGTTTTAGAATTTCCAAAATGGTGATATCCCTTATACTTAAAGATATTGGAAAAGAAATGTGGATCCACTTGGGACAACAGAACTTCCAGAAAGAATATACAACAAGTCATACCCCGGCGTGGAAAGCAAGATGTGACGTCTTGTATCAGATGAGCGAACACAAAGATCAGTATAAAAGCCGTACACGTTCTCCAGGCAACAGTATGCAACATAATAAAGAAGGAGTTTTGTCTGTAAAAGTGACACAGGTCACCTGTACACATGTTGCTTCTATGACACATCAATTCAACTGTTGCATATCTCAAGCAGAATGAAACGGGTATTCATGTTATTCCATACGAAGACACATCAGTCAAGTCGTCGGATGACACGCCTATAGATTTCTGTATAGCTGTACTTTGAAATGGGCGCTAGAAAATCGTCATCCTCGTACACTACATGGATTATGGAAAGCACGTAGGACTTGCTTTGGACATTATATCCTGACAATGGAGTTTTTTGCGATGAAAACTACGCTGCAGGTCTATTGTTAATATGTACAGTCGTCAAATATAGCATGAATGGACGTAATAACATGGACTGTAACAATGCGATGAAACTCCAAAATAGTTTTAATATAAATATTTAATTTCTGTATATAGATATGTATGCTAATCAGATGCATCATCTTATCTAAACAACAAGTAATAGTGATTCTGTTTTAATTCCCCACTTGCTCTTTGTGAATTTGTTTGTTTGTTTGCAAACTCCTCCCACAGTTTTAGAGCTAGCAGAACCAAACTTGGTAGACGGACTCTGGGTGGCCCAGGGGGTGTCCTTATCTTATGGCGTATCCCTCTGCCTAAATCATTAAAACGCGCCCAGAAGGTCACCCAGGCATGATGTGGTTTAGAAGTAGATTTACAGGATCCTGAAACCAAATGTGCCATCAAATTCTGTGTTCTAGGCCCCTTTCGGAATCTCAGGGACGCCATGTTCGAAACTGTTTATACCATCGCTCAAAAGCTAATGAGATCAAACTTGGGAAACGTGTTCAGGTTCTACAGGTGGGTGTCCAAGCGATTGGGGGGGGGGGGGGTACGAACCACTCTTGGGGTAGCTAAAGAAGTATTGGAGAGAATTGAGGAGTTTGGTCAGTATAGTGGGGCCTCTGTGAATCATGCGGGGACCTTTGAGCCCCGCAGCGAGGGCGGGTATTGTATGCTAGTAATTATTATAAAATGGCTGAAAAGGTTTAAAGTATAAGTTATACTTTATAAGTTATACATCATTTCACCAAGTTTAATTTGTACCATCTATTTGGGATGCTTCCATCATTTTACTCTAATGGGCAGAAAATTATATCTATTTATCTATAACCACTCTAAGGTAACAATAATAACTACATCACTGACTGAGGTGGCGTTAAAAAGATAATTTTATCCACATTTTCACTAAAGATCAAATTTTAAATGTATGGTTTGATTGCAGAAGAAGCTTCAAATCATCGAGTTATAGGCCTAGCTATTCCGTGTTTTACTTTAATACAAATACAACAACAGAAGGCACGCAACTTGAGCCAATTTATGGATAACAAGAGGCATATAATTTTCATTAGAAGTGAATAATATATAGTTCAGTGTTAAATTAGATATAAAGCAGATAAATATCCTGTGAATGTTTATTTTTGAATTATGAGTTCAAAGTGTATTGTTTTCGTACTTGATAATAAGTCTAAACTTTTTATTCTTGTTGTCTCAAATGTTCATATTTTTTACCAATGATAATATGAAACAACAAAACATCTTGTTATCTATTCTATCAGTGTATCCTCCCCCCTCCCCCCAACATGATCAGATGGTTAGGCCGCTCGACTTGCAACCTGTGGCTCGCGGGTTTGAATCCTCGTCCGAACAAAACATGCTTGCCCTTTCAGCCGTGGGGGCGTTATAATGTGACGGTCAGTCCAACTATTCGTTGGCAAAAGAGTAGCCCAAGAGTTGGCGGTGGGTGATGATGACTAGCTGCCTTCCCTCTAGTCTTTCACTGCTAAATAGGGACGGCTAGTGCAGATAGCCTTCGTGTAGCTTTGCGCGAAATGCAAACCAAAAATAAGTCTTATGGCTTATAACGCTAAAATTGAATTTCTATACCTGCAGTAGGCAGAGTACAGATAGTCTATTATGTGGCTTGGTGCTTAACAACAAACAAACAAAAAAACATCTTTCCATAAATTCTGTGTAATTTAAGATAATCCCAAATATCTTACTAGACAGAACATACAAAGAATAACAACAACAAACAAAAAGCAGACTAAGAATAATTTCTCGAAACGTTGTTGTTAAATAAAATAACAGTTTTTCTTTCTTGGACATGTGTTGTTGTTTTTTAAATTATTCTTTTGTGTTGCAAGACAGGTTTCATTGTTCTGTGGAACCTATTTTACTTGGTTACAAATGTCGCTTTGCGATGCTTGTTTCTGGAGTGTTCGGTGTCATGTGTCTGTGCGCTACTTCTATGGGAATTTTTTGTGATATAAATTATTATATAAATATTCAATTTACTGATGTACGAACCACCTTGCTGGTCAATGTCGAATTTCATTAACAAAATCACATAATCAGAATTTTCAGCTTTGTCATTATATTTTTCAGTTCCAGAGAAATAGTCAATTAAGAACTCAATCAATAAGATGTTTTCAAACAGTGTGGTATGTGTCATGGGAAAGTAATATTGTTTAATATTTTCTCGTGTAAAGTGTGGAGTGTACATTATGTAATAAGTATAACCATGTTTAGACTTTTCTTGTTCAGACTCCGTGGTGCCGTTTCTCTTGTTTATGCTATGTGGTAAATATCCATGCTTTGTCGCCTCTCATGTATATCGAGTGATTTATGTTATCTGATAAGTATCCATGTTTTGTCTTCTCTTATGTGTGTTTTTTTTTAAAGGGCGAACTATCCTCCTACAAAAGAACGAGTCTATCAAAGATAAAAAAAACGACCTGATAGCTGAACTTAAGAAATCAAAAGACATTCATGGGGTTAAGAAAATGAAAGAAGAACGTGTAAAACAGGAGCAAGAAGAGGTATACGTATATCTATATAGTTCTATTAAGTTTTCTGAATATTTGTAATTATTTTTAATTGTTTTCTATAACACAAATTCAAAGTTTAGAAATGGAAAATCTATGAAAAGAAATTTACATTTCTATGATATGCAATTAAGATTATTCACAGGGCCGTAGGAAGCGGTAAGGCCAGTCAGGCCATGGCCTGACCACTTTTTTTCATGGCATGTATGGCTACAACTTATGTATTAGAACTTGCTTCTTTTAATTCAATACATTACGTTGTATGTATGCAGTATTTGTAGTTAACCTGACTCAGGATTCAATCTCATAGCATCAATGTTTCAACAATTTTCTGGGGGGGGTCATACCCCCAGATCCCCCTAGAAATGGTAATGTGTCAATAGCTTGAACACTCCAAAACTTCTTCCAACGGCAATGATTCATGTGATGTTATCCCATGAATATAAAACCTTAATGTACTTTCCTGCAATACTCTTATCAATAAACATATCGTTAACATAGACGACCTCATAAGAAAGTAAAAAACAAACAAAAATCGATGAACTTTAAAAGAATAGGGAATATGTGGGTGAAAGGTTAAAAAACTAGTAAAATACAAAAGTAAACTGGTAGATAAATAAGATTAAACAACATTTGCATTAAAAGTTCACTAAATCTAAAAACCAAAATGTTAAAATATATTGCACATTAAAACTTTAATAAAGAAGGCCTGTTGGATATTTTCTACATGATCTTCACCGACATCGTCAGGAAACCGTTTATACTGATGATGCCATTGAAAATTACCTTCCATACATGTCGAAAACATCCAACAGGCCTTGGTGCCCCTTTTATTAGTTTTAATGTGTAATATATTTTAACGTTATGGTGCGTTTTAGTTTACGTGAGCTAGCAGCTCTTATGTTTGATTGGTGTATTATGTAACAACCTGTTTTATGTTTTGTCGAAAGTCAAAACTAACTGCAAAAGATTCAGATTAGTAACTATTTGGTCGAGAATTTCCCGTTGAAGCATTATTATTTTTATAGCCTAATAATGTGGAATAATGACGATGTCTGTTATATATATCCAGCATATTTTATTTTCCCTCCGCAACAGCTAGCAAGACTTTTCGGAAAAAAAGAAAACTGTTTATCAGCTACTTACGAACTCTTATCTATCACTTTCCAACTCAGGAATATTGCATAAGATCAATCTAATATTAACAGTACTGTCGGTAGCCATGTTAGGGTACAAGGACAAAATGTACAACAGAAGGCTCCAAACCAATAAACTTCACTTCGCCCATCCCCCTCCCGACTGTTCTCCGGCGTAGCATGAACGAAAACCAGGAATCTTATAAAGTTAAATAATGATCGACACAAACACCGCGAGATGCACTTTATGACAAGTCACATTTACCTGTTTGAACATGTTTATGTAAAGTAAATATCTGGAGCTCTAAAATCGTGGCTCCGCAGACATTTGGTCCATTTATTGTACCTGTCCCGAATATCTTGGTGTGATGACAGGAAATTCGTTAAGATATCTACTGCGAGATAATTCTATTTTCTTCAACTAACTAAAATTCGTGAGAAATAAAGAAGGACTGAACACAAACAAACAATAACACAAAAAAAAGCTTTATTTAAAACAAACAAAGTTAAAATGTTCACTTTATGTGTCACAATGGACAGTTGCGTCTACTGAAGAGTTAGCTCCTCAGTCTGAATAAACTTTATATTAGCTCGTAAACTAACTCAGTGATCTCCTATTTCAGACTAAATATCTCGAGATCGTGTCCCAGACTGAATACTTCAGCTACTTAAATAGTTAACGTCAAACTTACTCAGAGCGAGTAGCGCTACTCACATGACTGGTTATCACCAATGAAATACGAGAAGTCACCTGACTCCATTACAAAAATATACCTGTCTAACTTCACATACTATGAGAGGTTTTGTAGCTATCCTTACCAATGGAAGAAATAAATGTTATTTATGTGAACGACAGAGAATAGTAGGTAGCCAGAACAAAATAAGCTCAACTAACTTCTTGACCAATGTGTTATGTGGAAACTGCACATGCCTGCATAAATAAGAAATTTTGAAAATTCCTATATTAATGGAAGGAAGTAGAAAACACATGGAATACTTATGTAATACATTGGCTTATGCAACTGCCAAGTGTTCTAATCAGTGCTACAATATTAGCAATTTTTGAAACAATGTTCTGTTTCTTTGATGAAACTTAGTTATGTAAGAACTATTGGATAAAACATCACAAGCTAATAATGTACGTGATTACACTGTTTATATAATATCTTCAAACCGTCAATTATATCGTTATAGCACATATGTTGGTTTACAATCCTGATGAGTAAATTCAGTAGTATAAATTACCGTCCTGAAAAGAGCTTCGTTACTTAATTCTTGTTTCTCAGTGAAAGTAAATTGTATTTGAAATATCTACCTATTTTCACTTCATTCAAGTCTATTCGCTAGGTATTACCTAATTATTTTAGTTCATAAAAGTATTTGTTTTACTTCAAGAATGAACCGCTCATTAACATTTATTGTAAGATAATAGTATTTGTATTTCTTTTATCACAACTTGCTAGTATTCTAATACAAATGACATATATATATATAAAATTCTTCACATTCTCATATTTTCAGTATATGTTATAACTCGTTTTACTGTTCACAGTGGAAACGTTTTACATCTTGTAAAGTCGTCACACGATACCCATTCTTGGTCACGATAATACATACCAAAGAGCTCTTGAGAAGGCAAAATACATCTTGGTCGAAATCTTATATTAAGTTGAATTTCATGGTCTTATTACGCACAAAGAAGGCACACCAGACTTTGCTGCTTTCATAACAATCTTTTTTTTTTACGCGTCCATTGTATGGATTCAACCTCGTCTACTTTGTGAGATCGAAATTTCATAATAAATTATTTTCTGTTTCGTATTTTAAATTTTGTGACAAGGCGCCAATCAGTCCCTTATTTTCACGTTTCAGAGCTAGAATACAAATATTTAAATAGTTTACTTTTTTACTAATACCAAGTTGTACAGATTTTAGTTACCACAGAGGAAGAAAATTTTCCGAATTCTCTTGAGTTTGAAAAACCACATGTAAACAATTACAGTTTATTTTGTTCCTCCGTGTTGTAAAATATATATTTTAGCAATTACCGTATATGTAACAAACTCCTGACGTTATCCTGTCCAATTTGAGATGAAAATTTTTTGGTTAAAATTATTCAAATTTTAACTTTTTTATTTAGATGCAGAAGAAAGCGTCGGATATTGCAAAACAATGCACGACTGAAAGATTTTTAGACAAAATCCCCGAGGTCGACGCTAACGGATGCCCTATTCCACCATGGAAGCGGCAAATGTTGGCAAAGAAAGCTGCTGAAAACGCCAAGAAAGAAGCGGAAGAGCAAAGACTGGTAATAAATAATTATAAAAGAATGTCGCGATAACTTTTTGAAATCGTATTTATCGTACAGCTTTCTAACACATACAACATAGATACTATGTTCGATTAAGATGAGATGGCTTGACATAGTACGTAGATCTATTTAATGTCCTTTGGTTGAGTGGTTAACTAATATATTTGTCATAATTAATTTCGTTGATAGTTCCAGAAGACATAGTTTCAAGGTAGATTACATAGTCGTCTATCAACGTTAAAACACAGTTGTGTATCTTGTAAAGAAAATTCTGATGATGCTAACAGGTTCTTCGACTGGAATTAAACAAAATATGTTTATAACAACATTTGGGTTTGATTTGTAGCCGCGGCTCATAAAATAACTCCGAGCTGTATTTTTTTTTTTTTTTCGGTACAAACTTTTAGCTAGTAGCTTAAATTCTTTCAGGCAGGATTAAAGTAAATTAATCTATGAGACCTTGGGCATGGTCAAATACATCAATCGAAAGGGTTTGACCTCCTGAGTCCAAAACTGTAATTAGATCTCAAAGCGGTCAAGAGATGACGTAAGTGCCGTGACTATTGAGGATTCCCTCTTGTTTTTGAAGTAATTGCAATCATACATATTAAATAATTAAAGATAATAAAAAAATATGTTTCTGTATGGTAAACTGCTAACGTAAAATATGCATTTATTCTCTGTTATATAGAAGGAGGCAGAGCAGAGGAAAATCAGTGCTATTCCAGCTTGGAAGCGCCATCTATTGCTGAAAAATGTAATTCAATCGAATGCACCTTCAGAAATTATTCAAACGTAGGTGTTTATCCCATGCTATTAAAAATACAATTATATATTTTAGCAAAATAATACTACAAACAAATAACGTATTATAAAACTAATTGCAGTACTTGTTGACCAAGTTGTTACGAATTGTTTTACAAATACTGTCCTTCCGTATGCATCTGAAAGTACCACTGCGTATTCTTATATGGTTATTAAGCTAATTTTTGGTGTAATATTTAAAAATTTCTTCATTTTTCGCTTGCATTCAATTTAATCCATTATTAAATTCTAAGAATAACTTGACATGAAAGATATATGCCATATAGACTGTTTCGTGGTACTAAATGCTAAATGTTTTTGGTTATTACATCCAAATTTACTACTGACCTGATTAAAAATATCAGTAACGGTTACTGTTGTTAGCAATGCCGACAAGAGGACAGTGCAGTTATTTTATGTTGTTCTATCTGTTGAATGAATTAAGTTTAATATGACAGTTATTTTATTAATCATGACTAAACGACTTTACGCACTTTTACATCACGAACTCGGTATATAAATTTTACTTTTTATGTTTTTGGAAGAAAAGTGTGTATTTATATTTAATATTTCATAATTTAGATAAACAAGAATAAGTCTAAAAACCTCTGTTTAACCTCGCTTTTAGTTCCCCTTCATCGAACGTAGTGTCAAGCACTCCTGTTATTATAAAAAACAGTACGGAGACAATTTCAGAAAAACAACTTAATCGCAATATGGCACAAGTAACAGCAAATTCTTTACCTGAGGAAAATTACAACGATGAAGACGAAAAACCTCACAATCCTTGGTTACAGCAGTTACGGAAAACCAACTCAGAATTTCGCTAAAATTTTTTTTAGCAACACATGTAAAAAAATAATTTAATTTCTGATTTAATTAAATGCAAATAATTGTATACTGAAACCTATCTATATACGATAGGGAGTCTACTTATTCACGTATTAGTAGATGGCAGCAGTGAAAAAGTGATATTTTCTGCAAGATGAGTTAATTAAGAAATAAATTCAGAGTAAAGTGAATAAATATTTTCACGCATTTTTCATTTGCACTCACTAAAATGACAGAAATATTCTTTTAAGTCATTAAAAATAACAGAAATTATCCAGAGCCGAGAACGATAAAATTTGCATATTTTTAACGTTATTTATCATCTGCAATAGTCAACTATCAGTCGGAACGTTTCACTTGTTACGCTGAAGACAAACAATTGTCGTACTGATGTTCAAATATTTTCGGTGACAATCTTTCCTGTAATAAAATTACTTTCTACCAATTCAGTTTGATATACAAAGTATAACAATTTGTTCTTAACAGTTTGTAACGATGTTATCATAGTTTCGTAAAAGAAATTTGTTAGCATTCCACAAAGGTAAACATTCTTTGACTTTTTAATGTTCTTTCAGATGAATGGAAAACTTTAAATTTTTATTATAGGCATAATTACTTAATAGATTTCGTCCAGGACTTGGAAAAAGTATTTTTTCTTTAAAACATTTGTTATGTGTATTTGTGTGTAAATATGTAATGCTTTTACAATTAGCTTATAACAGAGTACAGACAAGTTCTACATTAATTCTTTCTTTTTTTTTTACGTTTGTTTAATGATATAGTTTTAAATATCACATACATTTGAAATATACGCGAACGTGGGTGATGTACAATTAACACGATTTAGTGGCAGTGATTGTTTTTAAATAATTATATCTTTAAAACAATGTTCCCTAGGGGAACTAAGTTTTACCAGAGCCATACTAAGAATAATAAGTTTTATTCCGGAAAGTTTGGATATTGTACAAGGTGTTTTAACAATAAATAAACAAATGAAACTTTCGGTGTGTTTATTTATTGACATCCCAAAGGTTCAACAAAGTCTTGTCATTATGTTTTCACCAAGATATTTATGGTTAGCATGTACTAATTAAAAAAAATAATTCATAGACGGTGTTCGTTGTAACCAATGTTTATTCAGGACTAGTTTTCAATTGGTAACTTGCATATTTGGTACGAACAAAATATTAATAAACTTTGCAAGTCTTTGTATAGATTTAAAAAAAAAAGAAGCTTATGCCATACAATTTATATGGTTTTGATTAGCTCCTTCGCTTAAGTATAAAACTGTGAAGATATTGAGTTGTGAAAAACTGAGACCATGTTATAATAAATGTTATACAAATTTCTTGGTATCTGGATATTAATTCATTCATCCGAATACAATGGCAGTCTTTCAAAACATAATAATATAAATAACGAAAAATAAAACATACACACACCAAGAGAAATACATAAACTGCACTCAAGTTTATCACATTCTGCATCCATGACATGGTAAGAACAAGAGTTCAAGAATTAATCCTTCCATCCCAAATTATTTTCCATCTATGTATTTTCAAAGCATCTCTAAAATAATTACTTCTATAAAAAAAAAGTAATGGAAATCACGTGTTTTTTTTATGTTTCAAAGATTACAAAACTCCATTCCTAGGATTTTCAAGTGATGGTCTAACTCTATTAACAGTAAAAACATACTTATGTAGTTTCAAATACAATTCATGGTATATAAAATGCTCATTAGTCAACTGATTCCTAAAATTAGAAATCATTTTTATATATCTACTGCCTGTTTAAAAATCCCACATATTAAACATTACTGATCAAAAACATACTTGAAGTACAATATTTTTGTTACTTTCTACAAACCTTTAATATGCAAAATGCACACTTTTAATGTCATCATATATGTGTGCCTGTATTGTAAAAACTGGCAAATACTAATCCAGTCTTACCTCTATCTCCATTTTCCAAATATCAGATTCACATTTCTTCAACAAATGTTTCATATAACTAAAACACAATTTTATGTTAACTTCTACAGATAATTAGTAACCAAAATGCACACAATTTTAATACCTTCCATTCTTGTTTTCCAAATATCAAAGATTCACATTTCTTCCACAAATGTTTCATATAACTAAAACACAATTTTATGTTAACTTCTACAGATAATTAGTAACCAAAATACACACAATGTTAATACCTTCCATTCTTGTTTTTCCAAATATCAAAGATTCACATTTCTTCCACAAATGTTTTTTAAAAGTTTTATGGCTGATTTTTCACTAGTGGTTTGGAATAGTGTAAAATCTGGAATAAAGCAGTATATTTACAAACTGCATTAGAACAGAAAGTGAAGTAAGTTATTGTATCTGAATAAGAATACTATATTTCCCAAAGCAAGCTGCTCAGAACACATTGTTAATAGATTGTGATCAAGTCAATCATCATTTCCATTAGAACTGACCTGGTACAGGACATCGCTGGTCACAAATTTGCGATAAGACCAGAACAGTGTGTTAGATAAGTTTATATAAAAATAATGTAAATAACGAGAGTAAGTTGAGAATATTATATAATTGAAGAAAAACACACGAGAACTCATTTCCATTCACCTGTTCTGTCACAAGATACTACAGTACAGAATACTGCAACAGACCCAGAATAGTGTGTTACACACGTTGAGTGTGTATGATGACAATTTAAATCATAAGAGTAAGGTAAGAATATTACACTATTGATGAAATCTACACCAGACCTCATTACTATTACATGTCATAAGACAGTAAAAGTATTGAAGAAATGACTCCTGCAACAGACAAAGAATATGTAGGTTACACACACACACACACAGCATGTATAACAACTTAAATTATAAGAACAAAGTGGGAATGTCACATTATTGATCAAAACTATTTTAGTATTCACTATCCCATTAACCGATTCCATGCTGTAATACACTACAACAAAGACTACAGTATCAGACCAATAACAGTGTGCTATACATATTTTTGTATTAATACTGTCTATTAATGACAGTAACCCCCCCCCCTCACTCTGACTACAGTATGAACTCATTACATTGTCTCTTTTAGTTCTTAAACAATTAACTAGTTTACTCCTTTAATTCATACATTGAGACAGCTCATTACATGTACACATGAGACATTTTAAGGTAGTGTATCACATGTCATATGAGTCATGGACAAGTACACTAAACCTCATAAATGTTCAGAAGATAATTATAATCAATTATATTATGAATGAAAATATAAAAAAAACATACAAAATATTTGTTTCTCAAATTACACATAAAGTGAAGAGACATTAGGTCTATAGAAGAGACAGATGGAGCTCATCCGTCTGTGACTACAGCCTCTCCCTTATATATATATATAAAAAGGAGAAGTTATAAATAGCTTTGTACACTGGATCCCACTCAACTCTTTAGAAATTACTGTATGTCATGCCAAATCTAGGCTAAACTCTTCTTACTCTGTGCACTGCATGGTGCTTTATTTTAGGCTCTACTTATGCCACCAAGCTGCTTCAGAGGTGTGGTGTCAGCATAAGAATCAGTCTTAAGTATACGTGTATCTTCATTATACATTGCTTGAATGCTGAAACAGGTCTTTAACAGTGCTCTTACATACTGTAAGTATTAAACTGAAGACAGAAGACACAAATCTTTGTTTTTTTTAATTCAGTGCTGACAGAGTACAGGTTAACAGAGAAAGTAACTTCACAGTTGACCTTTTAATTAACAAGAAGAATACTTGTTCTGTGTGCAGAAAAGCAAGTGTAATCAAGAAACTGTGAACTTTTTTTGTGAAAGAAATAATTCAGCTAATGAATCATAAGCTCTGAAACTTCTTCCTAATACTCAAGAGATTTGCTATCTGATCTGTAAGAAAAGTGCTAACAGCTGCAGTAAATCCTGTAACACAGTTAAACCGAAATGTCTTACTTACCAGAGGTGCTTTTATTTGTCAAAGCAGGCGCAGATGGTAAACGCTATGGTGCTTGTCCTTTTTGCCAACGCATATTCATGATTCTTATGGTAAAGGCTAGAGTTCAAAAATTGAAGTTCAAGGTAGCTACAGTAAACCTTGCCAAACCACCTGAAGAATTCAAAAAGTTTGGACTACGTCGAGTACCAGCAATTGTGCATGCAGAAAACTCCATTGATAGTGTTGATGATATCTTACAGTACCTTGATGATACATTTCCTGAGAATGAACTGAGCTACAATAACCCTGAAGCAGAAAAGTCATGTAAGGATATTTTTCAGAAATTCTGCTTTTTTATAAAGGAAGTATCCAAAAATAGCAGTCATCTTATGTCAGAGTTAAAAAAGCTTAATGAATTTCTTCTTTCTAATGAAACTAGTTTTCTTTGTGGCAATAACATTTCTCACCTGGACTGTGAAGTTCTACCAAAGCTACATCATATTCGTATAGCTTCCATGTGTCTAAAGCAGTTTGAGATTTCTTTGGATTTAAAGGGACTATGGCGTTATTTGAAAAAGCTTACACCAATGATATCTTCATCAAGACTTGTCCTTCAGACCAAGAAATCAGCCTACACTGGGCAGACAAACCTGAAACTCCAAACTTCACAATGGAACAGCATGCACAAATTACTAAAGAAGAAGCACGGTATAGCTTAAGTGTACCTCCTGGAATTTAAGAAGTAACGAATGGCACAATGTTCTTTGTATATGTTGGAAATGTTTGCTTCTAATATACACATATATTTATTAACAATATTTATCAATGTTGACTTGACTAACTTATTTTCTTTAAATTCTGTTTGTGTCACTTGGTATGTAGAAAAGTTTACATGCTACTAGACGCTGAAGCTGGCTTTTAATATTAAATTAACATACGAGTCAAGGAAAAAAAAATATGCTAAACTGTAAGATTATAAGACAGTTTATATTTACATTTTCTTATTAAAACTATATTAAAAGACCATGTCTTAAAGTATCAAACTTAAAGCTCCATGCTAAGAATGTTCAATAACTATAAATAACTGTGATAATTACAAAAACAATTATTTAGTACAAAAGTATGTACTGTACCTGATACGACCCTTGTGGCTATATTCCACCAATAAATGGCACGTTTGGTATAAAACAAGGTTTTTTTACTACCATTGTGTTTAATAACCTAGAATTTTAGGTTTTAAAAGCATCTGGTTACAAAAGTGATATCTTTATAAGCATCACTCTACAAGTTATTTTCTTATTGGAATTTTCTGTAAGGCTATTCTTCAATGGAATTTTATCATAATCTAAAATGATCTATTTTGGCAAATTCTTCCAAAATGTATTGAGGCCTATAGTGTACAAATGCAGCATTAATATTTATGCTTTTTAATGATTTGGAAATTTTTATATAAACTCTTAAACATGCTTAAGACATTACTATTTATTGTTACATCTATTTTGCTGAGTAGATTAATCCATACAAATTACAGATAAAAAATTCAAAACTGCATAAACTTAAAGATCAATGAAAATAAGGCCTACCTCTTTTTTCATTTATCAATGTTATATTAACACATTAAAATATACACATGTTGATTTTCTGAAAAATACTGGGCTTATATTAATTTTTATTGTGATTTAACTGTATTAATATGTTAATAAAATTAGAGAGAGATATTTTTGATGTTATTTTTTACTTAAAACAGTGTTGAAGACCAATATTTTCACCTTTATATATATTGCATTAATAAAACTGATTCACATTCACAGAGTACATGTACTCAATAAATTATGTCTACATTGAACACTTTTATTTTTGTATTTACTGGGAATATTATATGTTTATATACAATTAAAGAATTACAATCTATCAGAAAACCTAAATATTTAAGTAAACAATCATATACATAACTGTTAATTATAACTAAGAGTTTGGTGATTAACTCTATTAATCAAAATCACAGATAATATTAAAGAGAAGCCTTTTATGCACCATTTGTTTTTCATACCACCCTTTTTTCTAATTAGCAGTCAGGCACTTTATTTTTTAAACCAACTTATTATTTCCTGCAAGAAATAATTTTCCTTAAAAAGGTATAATTCTAAAAAAATAATTATTTAGTTTCTATGATAACCTCAAAATTGTTACCTAATTATAAATGAACATAAAAACTAAAAATTTAAATTCTGTACAATTGTTTCTACCATTACTTCAGCTAATACGGTATATGCTGACTAGGGGGATTGTCTCAAAATTTTGAAAGAGAACATGAGAAGTGAAGAAAGAAAAAATACTATAGCAAGTTATTTTATGGACATCATGAAAGTTCCATAAACAAATATCTGAACACAGATTATCCGTTTGAATATTCATAATTTTTGCATTCTAACATGAAAATTTGGATAGTCTTTTCAGCATGACACATTACAAAATCTGCAACTAATTGAACTTCTGAACAACATAAAGAATAACGTAACTTTTCGATCATAATTTCCATTTAAAACTGGCCAATAGCTAGAAAACATTATGCCAGCAATTGACTGAATTACTTGGGTATACCAGCACACCTTACTATACCAACATACTTATATATGCACTTAGTTCTAAATTATTTCCTCTTATACAAGTAGTACAATTTTATGTGGCATTACATTCAAAAGCCTCACTCATAATAACTTTAATCTTATTATGATACATATATAATTTTCCAACATCAAGAGATTTAAGTCATACCATATATACATCCACATTCTGTGAAACTGTAGAGTAATAAATTTTAAAGAGATTAGTCAGATCAGGTATGGGTACATATCCACATATCAAAGGTAAACTTTACTAGCTAAGTGCTCATTATATTTCTTCTAGTACTAGTAACGTAAAATTCATACCCACTGTCTCTTAAATACATCAGTTGTTTATGTATACATGGAGTGTGAAGACAGATGCATGAAAACTTTGATATTTTACCATATTTTCTGTATTCTTATGTGGGAGGTAAATTAATCATTTCTTTTTCTTAATGTACATGTAACTTACTCTAAAGTTTGGCCCAAAAAACATAACTGAAAATTTTAGCTTGTTTTATATATTTTACACATTTTGTGCTGCAAAGGAACTAAACTGCCATATATACTTATTAAAAAATTTTTTAGTTTCTCTTTTCACATATCTTGGAGTAAATCTGTGGCCATCAGAACTTATCTATAAACCTTTTAATTGTTCGCTTCAATTTAAAAAACAAATTTGAAATTTTTTTATTAAGATTCCTTATGAATGTTATTTAAAATATTCATGTTACAGTTTCTCATGGAAATAAACCTGTCATAAGCTAATAATATCCAACATGTAATGATGAACAGAGTAAGAATTACTGTTTTAAATAGTATTTTTTGAAAACAATCTTAATAAAACTAAACATTAGTTTCATAACATAAAATACTAAGTTAAAAATGTTTGAAGTACATCTTGCATAACCTTATTTTTGGAAAAAGAAAATAAGGATTTTCTTTCTCTAGAAACAGATTAACTTAAAATTAAATGATCATATATACAAGAAACTGTGTCTAGAGTGTGTGATTTTTATGTTATTTGTAGTTCTACTAATTTACTAGTATTTATCTAGCTTTAACAAGTTAATTGTTAAGCTTATTTATAAATTTAGTCCAACTTAAGTATAAACTTAAATGTTGATTTTAGCATAAAATTAGCCCCAAATTCACATTTACCTTTAAGCTCTAGAAATACTTTTAAATTTATCAATGAAAACAATTGATTAAAAAAGATCTACTTAAGAACTCAAATTTGTAGCTAAAAATAAAATTTAAATAAAAACATAGAACCCAAGCTCTAAAGTTCGTTCAGAATTTCTACAACTTAACTAAACAAAAAATAATTGTTAATAATTTATTAAATAAGTACACTCTGAACTCTAATCTAGAGCAAATAGGCCTACTAACATTGTGCCATTGACTCTGAGTGACAGACATAGTAAATTAAAAGTAAAACATAACGTTACACGATTGCACTTCATTTGTTAGGCTTAGAATTTTAGACCTCAAAACTTTTATTAACAGAAGATTACTCAACTCAATAAATCATTTATTTAAATGATAAAAAAATTACATCAATTTTGTTAAATAACAAAATATAAAAACACACGGTGATCAGTTGTTGTTTTGGGTTACACCAAAAATTGACTTTCGACTTTTCGTCATCTTCGCAGATTTGATCCCTAACGCAAGAAAATAAGCTAACGCTTACAATATTTCTTATTTAGAGTAACTATATACATAACATACCAAATACAATGGGTCATTTGATCATCATTGAATATCCACACGTAAGAAAATTAAAAATTGAAATCCACCCTTTATTTTTCTGGAAATCATTAATTCATCTCTTAAGTTCCTATATAGAGTGGTGGCCTCCACGTCGGTCAACGAGAACTCATTCCATAAGCCAACACCCTGTTTTAAAAATAAGTGTCACAATTAAAGCTCGACCTTGTCTTTTCCAAATATTAATAAATTTTTGTCCTTTCGTCCTAGAGTATTGCCCCCCCAGTGGCACAACGGCATGTCTGCGGACTTACAACGCTAGAAACCGGGTTTCGATACCCGTGGTGGGCGGAGAACAGATAGCCCATTGTGTACCTTTGTGCTTAAATTACAAACAAACTTACATTATTATCGCACAAAGAAATCAAAGGTCTTTATGCTATCATCCACTGTCTAATCTTGTAATCTTCAACAAGTTCATTTCTTACCCTTCATTTCTCAAGAGAAATAATAAGTTTGTTTGCTTTCACGTAAAGCTATTTGAGGATTATTTGCGGTAGCTGTCCACAGCGTGGAAGTAGCAGACTAGAAGGAAGTCAACTAGTCAACGCTTCCAACCACTAACCCTTGGATTACTTTTTACCAGCTAATGGTAGGATTGGCATTATAACGGCCCCAAAGCTGAAAGGGCAAGCATGTTTGGATATGCTGTGACCACAAATTACGATTCAAGCGTCCTAACCATCACACCATATCAGGATCTATCTCTGTAAGACAACCCTTAAATCATCCCATAAATTCTCCTAGTAGGTCTCCTTTGAACCCTTTCTTACAGATCAATTTTTTCTAGTGTAGACAGCTATAATAAACTATCAGCAACATCTGTGAGCATGTTTTTGAAAGATTTTGTACTGGATGAATCTTCTGTTAAGGTTACTTTTGAATTTGTTAATAGCTTAAAGCAGCCAGGATGATGTTAATTATGAGAGGTTTACAAATATATTTCTGGATGATGGGTGTGGGTTGGCCCTGTAGTAGACGTCTGGATTTCAGAATTGATGAGTTGGGTTCGAAACCATGAGATACCTCAAAAGATTTTTCACACTTCAAGCAGTGGGCATGTTGTATAGCAATTCTTTACTATAGATGGCAGGTGGCAGGATGCTACTGACTGGCTGCCTTTTCTCTGGTTAGTAGCTCAAAATTAGCGAGAGAAGCAGGTAGCATTACTAGTTTTCCATAATATAATACCTCTAGACAATCAAACCCATTGATCTTTTTTCTATTCTTGTGTTTGCTGAAAATGAAATTGTACAAGGTATAATCAAAGATATAACTGTAATGTTGTTCTTTCATTGGATGGGTTATTTCAAAGTATTTGGTGAAAATAATTCCAGGTCAAGTCCACGTAACAATAACAAGTTAGCTTATTTCTGCCTTAAGTGTCTACAAGCTGCCTCATTTGTACGATGTTATAACTTGTAGGTGTAAGGTCAAAAATGACATTTAAACGGAAATATTAGGTCGTCAAGAAATTCATGTTGCGTTTTGGAACACTTTCATTAACCACCCCCAAAAAACATACATGGTGTATAATAGTTAGATAAACTGTCTAAATGCCATCTCGTTTATTGACTCGCATTAAAAATTTTATTGAACTACTATTTCACGAATTTATGTCAATAAGTTTGGTATTGTTACGTATCTGCTTGTTTGTTTGTTTCCGGTAGAAATGCTTTCCGATGATCTTCAGCAATACAAGACCTTTCTTGATTAAACCAGTTTATTCTTCCTCGATACAAACTTTTAGTACACAGATGTTCCACAATCAGTACGTTTCTCGTCACTTTAAACTTAACAACTCTTATAATACAGCTATAAATCACAGCGATTCACAATCTTGATACCTTCGCTCTCGACGAGTGCAAAATACACACTTTACGGCTCACTAGCTCGAAACTAACAGAATCATAAATTACACGGAACTCAAACTAACTACTGCTCTCTCTTCATTCATCCCTGCTGGCTTTCTCTGCCAGGTTTATATACTAACGAAAAGGGCATCTTGAACACACTGGACTTCTCCGATCATTGGAGACGCATGCTACCAGCGCCAACAGCGTCACGTGACTTCCGCTGTCGTAACAGTATCAAACTGTAGATTATAATTCAAATTTTAGTACTATATATTATTAATTTTTTAAACTTGAAAGCAAATATTAAACACACAGTTGAACATCGATTTTTGTGTGTCACGTGGTATGTTGAATGCAGCACTGGTTCAAATTAGATATCTGTGAAGTCAAAATACTAAGTTTATAGTTTCGAACGAATTAGAAACCCAAATTACCTATATTGACAAGCAAGAATATAAAATAAGAGCCTTTTATCTTTTCAATTTGCTAAGATATTGCTCATGTAATAAATCAAACACAGTGGCACCCCGCCCACCTCTTTCCATTTTTGGAAACGCTCTGTAATATACACTTACTTCTATATATGACATGAATAACCAATCGGAAGCTCAGAATGTCCCCTAGTGGCTTTCTTAGCCATTTTAACGGACTTGGCGCCATTCTTTCTTTGAAACCAACATTTCAAAGAGGTAGGATGTGTCTTTAGTCTGCTCGAAATTTCCTATTTTTTTAGACTAAAATACATCTTATTTCCTAAGCTTTATAAATTATAGTGAAATTATATGGTATTAATTTAGTAATTTATGATTTTTTAGTTATTCAAGTGTATATGTAAAACCTAAAAAATGTGTTTCATATCCTCCATGTGCAATTTTTTAAGGGCTTAGCAACCTACTCAAGCAGCAACTGAGTACAAAGGTCGCAACTAGAAGAGATAATTGTTTGCTTTACTTCTATAGTTATTGTTCTATGTTTTAAGAAAAATAAGTTTAAGAAGTTATTTCAAAATAGCAATAATGTATAATAATTGTTTGTTTGTTTGCAATTAATCACAAAGCTACACAATCGAAACCCGGTTCTTAGCAATGTAAGTCCGCAGACATACCACTGAGGGGCGTATAATAATTGAAATTTGATTGTATTTTACAAAATACCAGTCTACTAAAATATAGCCAAGACAAGTCACTTTGCACAGACTAAAGGTCAGTTTTATATTATTTGATAGGGTAACATGAGTGCACTTGAGCTGCGTCATTTTAACTTCTATATTGTTAGCCAGACATGGCTGAAAGGTCAATATAATAAAAATAATAAATATATATGCACATGTATAATGTTATGAGATTTAAGCTATTTAGTTTAAATATTTATGTTTTCGGGTTATAATTTGTGTTCATTCTAGAATGAAAGAGGCATAATTTATATTTATTTCCTAATTTTTATGGTGGTTGCGATATTGGTCAAATTTCTCGAACCCATGCAGAGATTAAGTACTGAAAATAACAGATAAAATATAAAGTTTTTTCTTTAAGAAACGTTTTATAACTATCTCGACATTATAAATATTATGCAT